TTCCTTTGCTTGGCTTTAAAGCCTTTGCCTGTTAAGAATTATGATGTATCACGTGAACATATTATCACTTCTTACTGCCCTTTTCCAGGTCACATAGTATTTTCTATCCCTCAGTCCTGCAAGACTTCTGTCCTAGCGCCCCAAAGGAAGCCATGCCAGGCCTTTGATTGCCCTTGTCCTTTTTTGTATCTTTATTATTTTGCAGCTTTTCTGAGATGGGGAGACCAGAATTCCATGCAGTACTCAAGATGTGGGCATCATATGCATTTTGAGTAAATAATGGTATTTTCTCTTCCTTCGTTTTCATGATAAGCCTAAAATTCTGTTTGCCTTTTGGTGATTGCTAAGACTTAAGCTGACATATTCCTGAAGTCATCTAGAAAATTTAAAGTCTAATTACATGTTTATGTGTTTAGACTTGTTTTTCTTTCCTTCTGCACTGCATTATAACTCATACTGAGTTTCATCTGCTGTTTAATCAGTCAGTGATTCAGTATTGGTAGATAACTGTGCTCACTGTGTAAGCTTTTACTGCCTTGCAAAAAAAAAAGAAAGGCCCGTATAAAGCTTTGTCACCTCACTACTGATCTAGATTATGATTATTTTGAACAATATAGGTGCCAGCACTGCTATTCCTTGGTATACCTGGTGAATTCTTCTTCTTTGTGAAAATGAGCTATTTATTTCCAGCCTTGATTTTGTACCTTTTAACCATTTATTCATTCACAAGAAGACTTCTCCCATAACTGTAATTAATCCAACCGACTGAGGTTCAGCATATGCTCATGAGTATTCTTTAAAGAATCAATCTGTGAATTGCAGCATTTCTCTGCAGAAAGCAGGTAAGTATGGTAGAGCAAGAGAAGGTCAGGGAGAAGTTTCGCTCAAGTCTATTACTCTTAGCCACATTTTCTATTAATGCAGCAAATGGGGAGGCCTAATCTCCATTGTTTGTGGTCTTTTTTACCAGATGCCCTTTTTGTAGCCTTCTTATAAGTTGACACCATATTTACAACCTTCTGTTCCTTCAGCATGAACATAATTCAAGCAATACGTTATGCACACATCAGTAGTCAGGAAATTGTACAGCTAAGAGTGTTGCTTCATCCTGACAATAGTTTACTATACATTTGTAATAAAAATCTGTGCTACAGACACTTCAATTGGAAACAGTACCCTCTCATTTATCCCTTAAAAAAGAAGTCTTCTTTGCTACACCCTGCTAACTTTTTCTTCCTTTAGGAGTCCTCTTAAAAGCCTATCATCTCTTGATGACTTCATGCTTCTGATGTGTGTAGTACCACACAGTGTTTACTAAGTATACCTTCAGCAAATTCTTCCTCATCACTTTTCTAGGGATGCCTTAATATGTTCTTGAATCAAACTTGTTAGAGTTTATGCTCTTTGTTTTCAGTGTTTGGACAAAACTTCCTTTTCTGAAGAATGTCCTTCTACTTTTAAATAGCTTCCTTTACTCTTTATTATTATAATATTTTTTAATATAAGTGGTATAAAGGTGCCTTTAAGTAATCTCCTTGTTACTCCTTCTGGATGCTTCTTCTTTACACCTTGTTTTTCTAAAAATGAATGAGGTTTACTTTTCTGTATCCTCTCCTTTTCACAATGGAATTATTTATTTCTTTCTCAGTCTACAATGTGTTGAATGTATTGTGGTGGTCTGTATTACAAAGCTCTCTTCAACAATAAAAATCTTCAAATAAGTTTTGTGTCCTACTCCAGCCTTTGATCAAAAGACAGATCTGATGTCATACTCCACTGCAATGGCTGCCTAGTGTAGCAGGCAAGTAGGTAACTGATATCCTACCATTTACTGGGCTCTTCTGCACTCATAGCCCATCGCTGACAAGCCTGGACTAGGTCAATAATTAGTCCTATCCTACACTTTCTACTGAGGCATGACATTTCATCCCAAAGGGATTATATCATGTCTGTTTGTTGGCTTTGAAGGGTCTACCAGTGTTTTTATGACCTTTCACTTAAAAGACAGAATATTCTACCCTGCTTGCCCTTCTGCATCTTCAGCTTTTAGTTTAAAAGTCTAAAACCAGTCTTTTAGTTTAAAAGCTCTCTTGAAAGTGTAATAAATGTAAATGTCACCAGAACTAGCAACTGGTTGAGTGAATCCAGGATGCTTAAATACAAGAGAGTATGCTCTTACCTGGTAAACGAAAGACAAAATTATCAGCTACTGAAAGACAAAGTCTTTTCTTCCAGAGAAACAACCTAGACAAAAAGTAAAGGTAGTCTATAGGAATAGCTCCGTGGTAATACACAAGAATGCCTGGTCCTTCTGGAAGGTTTTCCACACCATGAAGCTCATAACCTGTTTGGGATGGAAAGCAACACAATGACAATGATAGCTGTAAATCATCTGGCAATTTAAAGAACACTGTTTACTGTCCTTTGTTAAATGACTTTCAGAGAGTTGTGAAAGCCTCTGCAGTAGCTTTTACAAGGATTAAGTTCTGGATGCAACTTTTAATCAATAGCAAAGAGAAAGCCCCTCAAACACCACAGGTTATCAGTGTAATAATTTGTTGATCAGTTTAATCACTAGATCAGACCTGAACCTGACATTTTTCCCAATGAGAGGACTAAATTAATTATTTCCCATTAGGAACTTTTCCTAGTCGAAAGTAAAATAATTTTTTAAAAAAAACAAACCTACTGTACTGGTGTGAAACTACTTCATTGGCAGAATGAGAGGCAAACAAGCAGTCAGGATGCTTTCCTGAAATACGGAAGTATGAACCTCCGCTGTGTCAGGCAGAATGAAAAGTCTGGGATTTTACATAATAAAAAGTTTCTCTGGTTGAGATGTTTAAGTCCTAAACAGAATCACTAAGAATCCCAAAGACAGGTTCTGTCTATGAGAGTTAAATGTATTCATTTACAGTGGAAATGAATTTCCGCACAGACATGGACTTCTGTAAATCCCTCTCCTGGCTGTTCCTACATTTTATTTAGGTTTTAGGCAGAGCCAGAGTAATGAATACAAAAGCTTGGGAAAGCTACAGCTTCTGCCAACTAAGAGCTCTGTTCCTCTGCCTTCATCTCCATCCCTGCCACAGCTCCTATCATCAGCCATTCAGGGAGAAGGATGGGGATGGAGCAGGCAAAATCCTAGGAGAAGATGGAGAAAGTTTTATACTGCATAATTTTCAAAGATTAGGCAAAAACTGTGAGGAAGGATAGTAACATAAATAATAATCTGTTATTCTTCATCCTTAGGGCAGCAAAGTTAAGTCTTGCTGATAGCCTTAAACTACATCTGTGGAAAGAACAAGAGCCTAACATGTGCCTGAGGATCCTCTTAGGGAGCAAGGTGTGTTGGAAGTAGCTGAAGGTTGAGTGTAATGTAACTGAAAAATCAGATTACTTTTAAATTGTGCCACAAAACAAATTTAAATGTGGTATCTAATTATTTATTTGTCCATACAGCTCTTAAAATTATTTTCAACTGTCATAACACAAAGTAGTTTTTGCCAACTAAAAATAAACTAATTACATTTCCAAGTAGTCGTGGTGGTAGTTCAATCATTTATTAAGTGGGTTTTAAGCAGCTACTAAGGGAAAAATGAATCGCACACCTCTCTTGCAGTTATGTTACTAGAAGTAAAATTAACACTGCACTTCACTCTGATACCATATGCAGAGAACTGCACCTGCCTATCCACTTAAGAGAAATATACCCTATACAACCTAATTTCTCCTTTCCATTCTGCTTATTCTATACTGCAATCAGTCTTTGAGGCAGAAACTTTTGGGTTACATGCCATACAAATTATAATAAATGTAATTTCTTTGCATCCATTTGGAAGAAATAAAAAAATTTTAAAACTTATGTGTATTTACTATTTATTGTAATTCAAAGCTTCAGACAAGTCATGTCATACTTACCATGCCATATTCTTGCATATATATCCCAAAAGCTTGCTATAGTTTTCCTTGCACCATCCCAAACATCACTCAAGGGATCTGCTTTTACCTCACCATTCCTCTGATATATTAAAAGCATAATATTACTAAGGTAAATGAAAAAGAGGATTGTTAAAGGAACTATAAAAAAAACTAATACTGCACTCATTGTCAGTGAGATGATGACCAGATGAAAAAGGTATTTCTTCAGGTACTCCACAACAGTCCATTCTTCCAGCACATAGGCAAGGCAGCTTAGGTCGGTCATCGGTATCTGTCCTGAAGTGCAGGATTCTTTTCTACCTATCATGTTCTGCACGGAGGAGAAGAAAAAAAAAACAAAAACAAAAAACACAAAACAACCACAAAAACTAGCTTTAATTTCTCTAATCATGGAAGTTTCTCAATTTAGGAAAAAACTTTCTGTGGATATACCTGATGCCTATTTTGGTATAGCACAGAGTCAAACATTTTGTGTCTCCCTGTCATGCTAAGATAGCTGCTGGCAATTGCCACCCACTACTGCCTATAAAGGGGGATGAGATTATCCTATGAGATTATTTTATGCATCTTTTTTATACAGCCCCTTTTTTATAGGGGCTGAAAGGACAAGGGTTGGAGTCCAAGGAAGCCTCAGGATCCAGGCTTACTTTTTAGAAGCTGAAAAGAGGGTAAGTGGTAAGTATTTTCAGCAGTGTTAGTCAAGAGGACTGTTACCAGAGGTCTGGGCTCTCCCGGTCCTCTGCAGAGTCCAGCCTGGGCTTCTGTTCCCTCTCAGTTTGGCAGCAGCTGGCAGCGAGGGGAACAAACAGCGGAGTGAGCAGCTGAAGAGCTGGCAAGCAAAGCCTGGGCAGCCATGGCTCCTGCCCAAGGCCTGGAGGTGCCTGGGACAGCGTTTGGTACTGTTGGTAGCACTGTGAAAAGCAGCTCTTCACCCCTCATTCACACAACCATGCCAACACAACGTTCTTTCACCGCCCTAGGGATATGTTTGCCACATACAGCTCCCTAGTTAGTCTGTTCCTACCGCTGACCCTGCCTGCCTGACTGCAGGTAGTGTTTCTTCTGGAATGCAAGAGCACTCCCACATCGCTGGCTGATTTTAAGATTCTTAAGCACTGGCCAGAGATTTAAACATTGCAATCATGTTCAGTAATCCATAACTGAATACAGCTTTTATTTGCCTCAATCAGGTTACTACTTGTTCAACGAGTAAATTTTTCTGCTCCAACACCAGAACAAGTACCTACAAGAAACAAATCGTAATCGCCAGTCAGTGCCAAGAGCATAAAGCACAGCAAGTCTAGACTTTTCTGACTTTATGTCTTCAGCTGCATACGTGTATGAGCAAACCTGTTATACACAACCCACTCCACTTTTGTTTTTCTTCTTTGAAGCCCTGGGTAGAATATAGGGCTGGACTGGTGCAAAGCACAGCTCCGTTCAGAATTATGGATGACAAGGAGTACAGCAAACAGGCAAAGCAAAAAGCAGCCACGAACAAGCACTAGACTCTAACATGCCATAAAACAAGCAAGACCCATGGCAAGCCCTGCTGATGAGTAGCTGTAACAGCTAGAAATTTGGTCTCTCACACTCCAGTCAACTATGTCCTTATCTCAAACCCTTCAAACTCCACATTGGGCACTAAAAGGACTACTGCGATTTAACCCCAGTAGGCAGCTGAGCACCACACAGCCGCTCGCTCACTCTCCCCTGCAGTGGGATGGGGGAGAGACTCGGAAGGGTACAAGTGCAAAAACTCATGGGTCAGGGTAAAGACAGTTTCATAGGTAGAGCACAAGCTGGAAGGATATTAATCTAGGAGCTCAAAGGAAGCAAGCACTGTATTAAATGATGCTCAACATGGCACAAACAAATGAAACCAATGTGACAAAGAACATCACAAGAATTAATATAGAATTGTTTATATCCTGATAACTGGAACCTGACTTAAGATATAGGAAGATCTGGTAATTGTCATTGGAAAGAGATTTTATTGATACTATGAAAGAAATAGAACGAATAGTCTGCATGATTCAGATATTGAAATCTCTGCATAGAAGGTATTTAAGAAGGATAAAGCTGATGCTGTGGTGCTACTCTAGAGTAAAGAAGTAATTAATTGCTTCAAGTTGCTGATAAGAGCAAGAGCTACAAATCCTCAATGCCCGCAAAGCATACTGTGCTGACAGAGCCCAGGAGAAGGCCAGGTTAAGGTCTTGCCTCAGGATACTGAATCAGAAATACTGAGCAGTACATGGAATAACTCGTTCAGACAGCAACACAGCATGAAGGAAACAAGTGGATTTTACATAATTTAGGGGGCTTCAGACTGGGAACACAAACTACTACAGCCAGTAGAAAAACTGGCTTAAAATTGCAGATAAAATGTCCATACTCTTAATAAATGTACCAATAATAACCCCTACATGCTATAGGGATTAATTGGGATATATTGATCACTGACAGGAACCTGGTGATCAAGAGATTATATAATCTATGAGCAGGGGCACCTTCCACTAGATCAGGTTGCTCAAAGCCTCATCCAACTTGGCCTTGAACACTTCCAGGGAGGGGGCATCCACAACTTCCTTGGGCAACCTGTTCCAGTGTCTGACCACCCTCACAGGAAAGAATTTCTTCCTAATATCTAATCTAAACCTACCCTCTTCCAGTTTAAACCCATTTCCCCTTGTTCTGTCATTAACTGCCCTTATGAAAAGTCCCTCCCCAGCTTTCTTGTAGGCCCCTTCAGGTACTGGAAGGCCGCTATGAGATCTCCCCGGAGCCTTCTCTTTTCCAGGCTGAACAGCCCCAACTCTCTCAGCCTGTCCTCATGGGAGAGGTGCTCCAGCCCTTGGATCATCCTGGTGGCCTCCTCTGGACTCGTTCTAACTGGTCCAGGTCTCTGTCTTTCTTGTGTTGGGGGCTCCAGAACTGGATGCAGTACTCCAGGTGGGGCCTTACAAGAGCGGAGTAGAGGGGGAGAATCACCTCCCTCGACCTGCTGGCCCCACTTCTCTTGATGCAGCCCAGGATATGGTTGGTGTTCTTGTACACAACACTCTTTTAAAAACCACCTGAAATTCCCTCTGGCCTCCTGATACTAATTTTTAGTAACTCTTGAAAGACTAGGGAAAATCCAGACAACTGGAAGAGATTTAAGATTATTCCAAAGTCCCCAAACACAAGTAACTGCAGACTCAGCAGCCAAATAAATTGCTGGCAAGATTACTGAAAAGCTGGTATGTGACAAAGGTAACTGATGCCACTCATTATAATTTTATAGGAAATGGACTTTGAAAACAAATTCACCTTCATTCTTTGAGGAAATTAGAGCTTGTCATACACATACAGTTTTACTAGGGGCTTTTCAAAGAGCTACTTTATGCCACACGTGAGCTGCTACTTGGAACTCGCTCTTTCACTAGCCCCTGACCGTAGGTTCTCACCACCAGCCTGGTCTCCACCAGGATCAGCTGGCTCCCTGCTAACAGGATGACTGTGAAAACGCTGGCACAAGCAAAACCACTCTTGGGAACAGCCCAAATAAATTGGCCTACGGGGGTTATGAAAGCATGGATATTACTAATGCCACTTCACATTTTGAATAAAAAATAAAGCTCTTTAAAATGGAGCACATATGAAATTAATGATGCCATCCAATGACATGACAAAAAAGTATCCATCAGTGGTGGAATCCCCATCAAATGAGAATTGAGTTTATGTTCTATATTATTCAGCATTTTCAGAATTTCTCCTAATACTAACAGGATGTTTACACTGATCAATGTAAACAATGTAACATCTCACTGATTCCTCTTCCTCCATCCCAATTTTTATGTAATAAAAAACTATTTGCTGGCCAGAAGACCACTACATTTAACCTTGTTTGCTCGCAGACTACAGTATAAATGAAAATAGTAACTTACTACTTTCAAAGTTCAATGTAGACACAAAAAAAAAGCTTTAGAAAGAAATAAAAATACTTAAATGTGCAAATATTTTTTAAAAGACCTACAAAACAGGTAATAACAGTACAGATTTGACTGAGGACATATGAAAGTAGTTGGGTACACATGGAGTGAGTTCACTATATGCCAGCTAACTGGGTGGGTGGGCTAATTCAACATCATTCCAGTTGAATCCAAGCCAGAGTAGAGAAAATGATTGTCTGATTGAGGAAAAACTAGAAGTGGCATGGCTTTTTCTGGAAGTTGGGTGCTCAACCAGGTTTCAGTTCCTGCTCCCACAGTTCAGTTGTACACTACCTCCAACAGATCATAAGGAAAGAATGAACCCTGATCACTGAACCCTGACCCTGTTTTTTGGACCATGATGATGCGAGTCCAACATGGTAAATGCATTCCTCTGTACTGCCAGTATAACATCAAAGGACTACAACAGGACAGAATTTCTATTTTTGACATATTCTACTGGCTACCTCCCACTGGGCCCTTGCTGAGACCACAGACACAATTTCTCAGCATCCTTTCTATCAAACACCATATAGGAAAATATTACTTAGCTATCTGAGTGCCTATTGCAAGGCTATTACTAAAGACCTGCTTGATTATGCACTGGAAGACAATGCACGAGTGCTACTGTAACATGAATACTTGTAACTGCTCTAGTTTGCCCCAAGTCTCAAAATTTATGAGAGCAATTTCTCTTCTACTTTTATCACATCTGAGCTAAGAGCAGCTTCCATGTTCTTCAATACTGAATATCCCCTAAAAGGTTAATAAGTGGGTATAGTTTTTTGTGAACAAACATTTTTTAAATTGTCTACATTTTTCTCATATGTTCTAGGGGTGGACTTGAAACATTACGGTTCTGAGTGACTTCATTTTTCTTCTAGACGACAACATCTGTGTTGACATGTGAGATGTTTGTTTGGGCTCCACCTATAAAGCATATCAAATTCCAAAGTAATAGCTATATCTACAGTATAAAATTACAGGTGATGTCAGAGGCAGACAGAACTAATGTCTCCCTACTTAAAGGGGAGCTTCCCTTCCAACAAAAGCCTCCTGTACTACAAGTTATTCAGATCCTGAGCTCTTCCTGAAGCATCATTTGCGCGTAAAGTTAATCTTGTCAACACTATAATCCCAGGGAGTAGAAGCGCAACAGAGCTGTCACAAGAGTCATATCGCATCAACATTACAACTTTGTAGCTGGCTTTCAACCATGACTAAACAGTGAATAATCTTGGTATTGCTGCTCAGTAGTTTGTTCTTGGCAGTAGGTTCAGCAAAAAACATAGTGGGAAGATGAGTGTAAAGTAGCTAGAGACTCTTCTATAGGAAAT